AACCACAGTTTTAATTAAATCAAAAGCATATTTTCAGTAAATAAAGTAAATGAACACAATAGTTTACGTTTATGTTGTAACAGTATGACATTTCAGTATGACATAGGTAATCATTAATTGTATGAATAGGATGAAACTAACAGCTTCTAGCAGTACGTCAATGTGTACTAACGTTCTTTTTGTATGCTTAATTAACACATGAAGTCCTGATAAATCAGATGCTGAAGAAAGCCTTTATTACCTTCATCTTCATTCATTAGTACATGCCTTAGTAATTTAGTCTTGTGGTTGTTAATATATAACTTATTCACTTGTTCCTGATTAATGACTAATAACTTTCTAATTAATTAATTAGTAAATGACTTAATTACTGGCAGGTCATGTACCCTTAATCTTTATAGTCTTGTTTCAGCTGCTTTTATTTGTGGGGCACAGTATCCATAAAGTGTTTAATTATTTGATGCCCACATGAAAGCAGAAAACTGGGTGGTTTTCTATCCTGTTATTTAAAACAGGATAGAAAAAACATTGGAAACAGATCACAGATTAGCCAGGACCACCAGTTATGTTACCACATAAATGAAGCAAACTAAATATTTTAATGAAGAAGAGAAAAATTAAAGATTTGCTGAATTCTCTTCCAAGTTTGGATGGTCACAGCTTTGCTCTCTGGTTATCATAGTTGTTAGGCTCTAATGTAGGTGGGTTGCATTTGCAAATGCAGTTCACTGAAATGCAGTTAAATTTCAGGATAAGTCAGTGTTATCAGCCAAATTGTGCTCAATGCACTTGAAGCTCTTAACTTAGCTGCACATAACTGGGATGCACTGAAAAGAATGTCGGGACCAAAGCTATCCCCTCCAACCCCAGGCCTCCAACATAATATTATGAATAAAAAGAAATCTTTTAATACCAGCTAAACACTTACACTAATAATTGTTTTAAGTCTAAGTTCTCAAAAGATGTCAAAAAGGAAAGAGTCTTGAAGAATCCAAACCCTCTTGATTCCAAACCAGGGGACTCGATCTGTTGTCTGGACAATTGAATTTTATTCGTGCTCGTGCAGGTTCCAGACACTCAGCCAGCCCGTAAGACCATGGACTGACACAGTTTTATAGCTGGACTGATGCCAAGATTAGACCCAGCTTATACAAGACAAGTAACAGGTGTGACAAACATGACCATATAAGGAGAAACACAAAATAGGCAGCCTAAAATACAACTTCAGCACATTCACACACAACACAGCACATTTCACAACAATAACTTCCTTCAGTCTTCAGACGCTGAGTTTGTGGAAGAGGAAAAAGGCTTCTTCTTTATTTTAGCATCAAGTGGCACAGGGTCTCGAGAGACCCAACTGTGCAAATATAGTGTTCCAAACAACAGTTTATATACCATTTATCTGGGGTAATTTGAAATCCCCCCAATTTACTTCTCAAATTTTTATATTAGCTAATTCTCTAATAGGTGCATCTCTTTGACCATCTCATGATGAGCTCACTCCTAAAAACGTTTCAAAAGGTTTTTACCAGTCTGCTCTACCTATCAAGGTCAACTTGCCCCTCTCATCACTGGGTCAGTAAGTACACACAGGCCTGTCTTTGAACCCAGGGGCTTTCCAGTGTCTGGAATCTTCTATGCAGACAGACTAAGGCCTTCCCTTTGCGAGAGAACTAATATTCTCTGTTAGCCAATACTTCCTATTTGGTTATTGATTGCAACATCTAATCTATTTGATTACTGATTAAGGGAATATTTATTCAAAATCTCTGTCAAGAACAAAGATTAAGACTAAAGATTCTTGTTTTTAAAATATTATTTTAATTGGCTCAAATGTGGATGTTTTGTTCGTAAAATGCTTCCACAATCTCTTCAGTTATGGGGTATGGGGGAAAACTAATAGGGATACTTTTCCAACATTCAGACCATTGTAAAACTGCCAGCTTACTGTGGTGGGAGAGCAGGAGAGCCCCCCGCCCTTCACTGCTGATACTAGACCTGTTTGTGTAAACATTAGAGACAATCAGAAAACACTCAGAGCTCAGTGATCCGCACATAATGAGCAACATGAACGCTGTGCTGAAGCTGCTGTTGCTGACAGCAGTGACTCTGCTGGTTTCTGCTCAGGAATGGAAGAACTATTAGGGCCTGTCTGATTCATTAAGAACACAGATTGACAAGGCACTGCAGGACGCCAATATAAAACTTGGGGGTCATTATCATGTTGCCTGTGAAAAGCTCTTGTCCAGCCCAAGAGTGTTTCTTCTGTCTGTTATTTTCTTCAGGTGAAATTATTTGATGTAACTGTAAGATTCAGCTTATGGCAGAATGTTTATGGTTAATCAGCTGCAGATTTCAGAATTCAGATTAGTTACCTACAGTCAGTAATCAGAATGTGAACATGTTACAAAAATTTCATAGCCTCAATGATCAAGCCAATAAAAATAGTTAATTTATTTGCCAAGTACAACATGCTCTCTAATAAAATCTAGAAATCTGGAACAAACAAATATAGAATTAACTTTTTTCACTAAAAAAATCAACAACATGTCATTTGAGCAGGGGTTTATATATCAGCAAACATTTGTCATATACACAGTTGTATGCAAAATATACATTTATATATATGGAATATATAACACTAAGAATAAATACAACATTAATAAAAAGTGATTTTTGAAAATAATGATTTTTCTTTCTATCAGTATATTCCTTTAACCATTTCTAAACCTCTCCTTGTGGCTGCTCTAAAGTGTATGTATAGATATATACAGCTAAAGATATGAGCAGTATATTATGTAGATTGTTGTTGTTTACTGTTACGTCTTTATTTTGCTGTTTTATTTGGAGACTAATGTGGGCCACTTTTATGCTTTTCCACAGATTAGAGGTGATGACTTCTATGTAAATGTGCGTCTAATGATCACTGCATGCAGGAAGGATGAACAGAAAGGATTCGGACATCGAGATGAATGTGTTACACAAAAACCTAAAACGGTGTGTATGATATCTAATGATCACACACTAGACATTGGCCAGCCAAGGTCCAGTTTCATCTACTTATTAATCAGTGTGTAAACAGACTGTGTTTCTGAATATGTTGAGATTAAAAAAAGGGACAGACACTACAAATCAGTTACTAACACAGACTTTCTCATTTATTTTTTAAAGCCCTGGATTGACTGTGTTGTGTGTAAGCAAAAAAATGGTGAAGAACTAATTGACTGTGCAAGACAAGTGGATGTCAAAAGCGTAAGTTCTGAATTTATCATGAATAATGCACGCCCTACTGTTCATGAACAGAAGCTGCAGTTTGTGTCTGACTTTGAGACCCACAAAGCTGCACACATGAACCTGAAAACACACAAACACCAATTGTAATTGAAATAGAAAATGTAGTGATGACTATGTAAAATATGTTACTTTTGATGTGTGGTTGAAACCTGTATGAGAAATCATGCATACACTTGTGTGGTTTCCAATAAAAGGACACTTAAATGTTCAGTTTATTTTAGCTGTTTAGTTCAATGTACTCTTATTTTAAAATGGCACGTTAAAAAGGACAATGTTAAAAAAAACACAAAACTACATTTTCTTGTTATGAAGCATGAGATGTTTAAACACAAAACGTAAATAGCATATTCAATGACACACTTATATTAGCAAACATTTGCTACTTTTTGAAACTTTCGTTTTAACTGGGTCTCTCAGTACAAACAGATGCTGACTTAGACATGAACACATTCTTTCCAAATATATCACTAACCATTGTGTTGAACGGCTTGTCAGGTACCAGAAGTAAAACTCTCAGAGTGCTTCTACAGGCACTTCAGGCGTATTTGAGTTATAATGAACTTTTCTTGCAGTTACTGAAAATGTTATTACAGCAGTTTCAATAAACAGTATCTCAAAGTGCTGTTTCTCTGTTGTCTGTGTTATTGTACTTTGGTTACACATCCCTTCTTTCTGTAAAAGTGGGTAAAGATCTGTGTCTTTCTGACACAGAAAAAAATAAATGAGAAATGAGATTTTACTGCATTTTAACTAAAACTCTGCTTAGGTGGACTGCTCTGAAAATGATGAGCAAAAAGCCTGGTGTGGTGTTTCAGTTAGAAGTTCAGCGGTCCATGGTTACTTGGCAATGATACCATACCATAAAGGAACTACATTTCTTGGCGGAATACTTGTTTATGTCGATTGTTATTAATAATAACTTAAAGTATTTCCTGGAAAATTATGTATTTTATCATATTTAATGTTTGCCACCGTTTTCTAAAAGCAAGAGGCCACTTGAGACCATGCGTTACTGCGATTTTATCACAGGGAAGGGAGTTTTAGGCACACTACTTCGCGTTGTGCCTAAGAACACCCTTCCCATAATAAGGGAAGTCTTAACAGTTTAACTGTTCAGGAGAAGCATCTGTCTGCAGAGGAACCTTATCACATGGCTATTATAGTTTACTACCTGATGCTACACAAGTAAATATTATATATTATTATTGTAATACAGCATTACAGAACCTTTTAGTTTCCTTTTATATTACTACAGTAAAGTGCAACTGTCATAAAGCTGAAAGTGTGGCTGAAATATGCCACTGCAGCAGAAAGTGCGCACGTCTGAAATTTGAACTGAGGCACTAATGCTCTACAGTTAGATAATAAGTGTTGGAGTGGTGGGGGGCTTTGACTGGGGAGTCAATTTGTTTGGGTTGCTTACATTTCCCCTCTAAAAAAGCTTCACAACACTGAAGCTAACTGTGAAGAAAGCTAATGGGTATATTTTTCCAATATTCAGGTCATTGTAAAGAGGTTTTCACTTATCATTTTTGTGTTTGTAGCAAGTAAAGCAACAATTTAATTTCTTACAGTAGCATTTTCCAACACTGTTCCCAGAAAACTAAAGAGAGCTGTCAAGTGGTGCCCTTTGCTTGTGATTACCAAATAATTGTGGTGGGAAAGCAGGAGAGCCCCCCGCCCTTCACTGCTGATTCTCAAGTGGTCTGTGTGAACATTAGAGGGGATCAGAAAACACTCAGAGCTCAGTGATCCACACACAACAAGCAAGATGAGTGCTGTGCTGAAGCTGCTGCTGCTGGTGACAGTTATTCTGCTGGTTTCTGCTCAGGAATGGAATAACTATTGGAGCTTGCCTGATTCATACAGAACACACATTAACAAGGCACTGCATGATGCCAATGGAAAACTTGGGGGTCCTTATCATGTTGCCTATGAAAGCCTCTTGCCAAACCTGAAAGTAAGTGTTTTTTCTGTCTGTTATTTTCTGCGTCTGAAATGATTTGATGTAACTGTAAAGTTGAGCAATCCAACTTATATATGGCAGAATGTTTATGGTTAATCAGCTGCAGATTTCAGGATTTAGATCGGTTACCAGCAATCAGTAATCAGAATGTGAACATGTTTAAAAACATTCATAACTTCAGTGATTGAGTCATTAAAACTAGTTAATTTATTTGCCAAGCACAACATGCTCTCTAATAAAATCTAGAAATATGGAACAAATTTAAATATAGAATGTTCTGCAAATTCTTTTGTTTAATTTGTATGTTTTGGCTGAGTTTAACAAAGTGGGGGAAAAAACGAATATGTATATAATAAAACATTAATACAAAATTAATATACTACTAATAGTAGTATTTTTCTATCTATGTGTATGAGATTTGCAATGAATATGTGATTTGTTGTTTGCTTTTATGTCTTTATTTTACTGTTCATTCTTTTATGGTTTTTCACAGATTACAGATGATGACTTCTATGTAAATGTGCGTCTGATGGTCACAACATGCAGGAAGGATGAACAGAAAGGTTTCGGACATCGAGATGAATGTGTTACACAAAAATCTAAAACGGTGTGTATAATATCTTTACTGGCTGAATGCAAAGTTAAATGATGTCATACTAAACATTGACTAGCCAAGGTTCATTTTCTTCTACTTACTTATTAATCAGTGTGTAAACAGACTGTGTTTCTGAATATGTTGAGATTAAAAAAGGGACAGGCACTACAAATCACTTACTAACACAGACTTTCTCATTTATTTTATAAAGCCCTGGATTGACTGTGTTGTGTGTAAGCCAAAAAATGGTGAAGAACTAATTGACTGTGTGAGACAAGTGGATGCTAAGAATGTAAGTTCTGAATTTATCCATAAATAAAACAAATCCTACTAGTCATGAACAGAAGCTGCAGTAGATACAGAAACACATCCAAATACCAGATTAAACATAAAACCCATTGTTGCTTTCGAATGAAAAGTAAAAAACATGTCTAATGGATCTTATTTCAGAGGCAGCACATTCGAAAAATGTGTTCAGGTTACCACCGTGGAGGTGGATCTCTGATGTCTCACATAGGCGAGGATAATGAGCCGCAGATTGGATGTCCTGGATGTGTCTGACTTTGAGACCCCTGAAGCTGCATACACGAACCAGGAAACACGCAGACTCCAACTGTGAATGAAATGTAAAAAAAATGTAGTGATGATTGTATAAAATCAGCTAATTATAGACAAATGGTTAAAATCTACATAAGAAATCATGCAGACACTTGGGGTAGATTGCTTTTGATAAAAAATACATTTTAAGTTTATTCTAGCTGTCTGGCTTCATGTACACTTTAAAATAGCTAACACAATAATGAGAATAAATATTAAAAACAAAACTATATTTTCATGTTATAGAGCATGATATGTCTGAGCACAAAGCATTAATAAACTAATAACGGATACAAATATACATTATGAGCAAATGTTTGTGACTTGTTTTTTGAAACTTTTATCTTAGACATGAACACATTCATTTCCAAATAGGTAGTTAACTGTCGTGTTGAACAATTTGTCAGCTACCAGAAGTAACCCTCTCAGTGTGCTTCAATAGACCCTCAGGGAGGAGAGCTGAGCCTGTTTAGTGAGAGCCTTGAGAGCCAAAGAACAGAAAAATGTTCTACAGTCTTAAGTGAGTGTGAGTTATAAATTAATTTATTCATTTAAAATATTATGACACAAACTTTTCTTGCAGTTACTGAAAATAGTATTTCCGCAGTTTCATTAAAAATAATGCTTTAAAGTGCCTGTTCTGTTTTGTTTGCGCTATTGTATTTTTGTGACATGTGAATTCTAAGTAAAAATAAGCAAAAGCAAAATCAAAAACAAAATATGAAAAAGCTGAAAATGAGAAAAAATAAAATACTTCATAGGGCCCTGGAGGAAAGGGGGTGAACTGGCCTTACTGAAAGAGAAAGACAAGATGAAAGGAAGAAACAGAAAGTAAATAAAAAGACATTGCCAGGTCCAGAGCTCAATGACTGAGGACACCCCACATCTATAGTCAGGTCCCTCAAATGTCAATTCTTTGCCTCCAAGCTTCAAATATGTTTAAATGTTTGTTTGATCCAGGTTCACAGACATGGGAAAGATTTTATGTTAATGACATGCCTCTAGTGACAGTCATGGATTGTCCATCCTGTTAACTTGTGGTTCACCCAGTTATATGAACAGTTTTCATCCTAATTCATTGATATTTCCAAACATTATGCATAAGTTTGTGATTATTTGCAGAGACAGGAGTAGGGAACATTTAAAAGACTGGAAACAAATACTGTTAGTATTTAATTATATTGTGAAAATAAATGATATTTCTTAGAAGCATAACAAGACAAAATATTATGCAAATTCACTGCATTCCTGTAGATCACTGTAAGGCACACTAAGTCTCTTAGGAAATGTAGATGTGATAAACATTGTGTCATAAACATGTTGAAATAGTTATAACAATGTCCTATAACAGGGTGGACATTTGGTGAAAATTATTCTGCCAGTTAAAGCTGCACTATGTAAGATTTTTTTGTTTAAATTGTAAGAAGCGCCTGGACAAAACAGGCTAAAATATGGTGTGCATGCAATGCAAGTCCCTCTGTAAAGCCTGAAATGATCATTTTAAAAAGTCAGAGAGGTCAAGTTGGATTCCACAGGGGTTTTTCAGACCACATCATACATACCTACATATTAATATCACACGTTCAGACTCAGAAAGAAACTTCGGCCCGATATTCAAGTCTCAAATGCAAGATCAATGCTATGTTCTATCTGATGAAAATATTAGGACAGTAGTAGATAATTCACTTATATCCTCAGAAGACACGTCCTTCACCAAGTTTTACTGAGTTCTCTTTGAATACTCTTTTTACCAGGCTCTCAATCATAAGGCTCATCCCCTCACACAATGTTCTTTCACACAAATCTCCTAAAGACATTCCGCCTCTGTCCCCTCATTATCCCCAAACTTGGTGCTTGTTGTGTTAGTTTGTCTGATTTTGTTTTTGGTGAACTGAATGTGATTCTTAGGCCTGTTCTCAAGAATGCCTCTTTAGTTCTTCAGGTTTTTTATTTTATCTGTCTTTGTTGATGCCTGGCTAATGGATTTGCCTGCATTTTGTCATGTGATCACTGCCTCTCGAAATTCATCCAGTGAAACTACTTAACATGTCACTTACTTCGATTTTTTTTTTTCAAACAACAAACATAATGCAGTTTACTGAAACAATTAGAAGGAACACTTTTTTAAAAAAGTGGTTCTCAAGAGTTCTAGTAAGGAGAATAGTTCTGTAGAACCTCGAGATTTATATAGAACAATTTTATGCTCAAATGGTTCTTTGCATAGTGAAACAGTTCTTCAGAGAATATATTGAATATTATTCTATATAGCACAAAAAGGTTTCTTTTATTGTTACAATGTCAAGCTTATAATTATAGATGTTTTTTTAAAAAGGCTCTGTATAGAACTATATACAACACATCCTCCATCTATCTGAAGAACCACTTACCCATGCAAAGAAACATTTAAGGATAAAATGGTTCCATATAGATCCCATGATTCTAAATAGAACCATTCTTTTTACAAAAGAACCCTTGAAGAAACATTTTTTGAAAATTATTTTTATTGAAAATTAAATGACAATATGGTTGACGTAGCGTATTTTGGGAACAAAAACTAGTACAGTGCTACAGAGTGAAGAGTCGTTTGGGAGCCAAAAGAGTCGACTCTGATTTGTGAGCTGAGCCGATTCATCTGACTCACTGAAAAGAGCCAGAATAATCATCACTACAACTGTTAAGAGCAGGAGAGCCCGCCTTTGGCTGCTTGTTCTCACATGATCTGCGTTTTTTTTCTCTGAGTGATTCTCTGAGTTCAGACATCAGTAAACACTCAGAGCACATAATGAACAAGATGAGTGCTGTACTGAAGCTGCTGCTGCTGCTGACGGCAGTGACTCTGCTGGTTTCTGCTCAGGAATGGGATAATTATCAGAGCTTGCCTGAATCATACAGAACACACATTGACAAGGCACTGCAAGATGCCAATGGAAAATTTGGGGGTCCTCATCATGTTGCCTATGAAAAGCTCTTGCCCCCACTCAAAGTAAGTGTTTTTATTTGTGTGTTTGTCTTTTTCCGTTGCTGTTATGATTGTGTAGCCTAAAAAGTGGAACAACTAACTTGCTGAAACGTATAGTTAATAGTTTTTACACCTATACACTTGCTTTAGGTCTGTTTTTAGGGAGTAAACTAAGCAAGCATGAAACATTGTGATACATTGTTAAAGTAAATGTAATAGAATGAGCTTAAATTAATTTCTCTGCTCAAGTTCAAACAGCTTATGCCCTATAAATGAATATAGGGCATAGAATATAATATTAAATATAATATTTTTCTTATTTTTTGCTGATGTGTGATTTTGAATATTATTGCAAGGTTAACATGCAGAAAACTGCTATTATAACATTTACCATTAACATACTCGAGTCAGTCAGAATGATAACAGCACCTTGTAATAAGTTCATCACTACAGTAATTGATAAGGTTGATGTAATGATAATAATGTGGTTTGTTGGTTTACCAGCACTGTTTTTGTATTTATGGTGTAATGTGGCTCACTTAACCTGTCCAGGGTGTTTCCTGCCTTTTGCCCAATGACTGCTGGGATCGGCTCCAGCACCCCCACAACCCAGGAGGATAAGCAGCTTGGATAATGTGTGTGTGTCTGTGAGGCTCACTTATACACTTATACGTCTGTACTCCTTTTTCCACAGATTACAGACAATAACTTGTATGTAAATGTGCGACTGATAGTCACTACATGCAAGAAGGAACCACATAAAGGATTTGGACATCGAGATGACTGTATTACACAAAAACCTAAAACGGTGTGTATGCAAAATTTTATCATTTCTGTCCCCCTTAAAGGAGCACTTTGGCCAAAATGACAAATTTAAGTTTAGCTTGTCTGTTGTAAACATGCTTACTCACGTTCTACAGTCGTGCCACAATAGCCTTGAGAGTGAATTCTTTCTAATTCTCTAGTTTAAAGACTAGAAAAAGTCCCTTCTGATGATGTATCATGAAGGTGGGAGGAACTTTTGAAAAACTACAACTGCTTTGGGGCGGATTTTTTGGGTGTGGGCTGCTGATGGACGAAAACACAAAATCTTGAATTATGTCAAACTGATTAGGACTATTGCACAACAGAATATCAGATAAAATGACAAATAACATATTTTAATATGCTACTTTTAGACCAGAATGTCCTTTAAACCCTGAACACTGGTTAGTAAACAGACTGTGTTTTTGGATATTTTGGTACAAAATCATTAAGTTGCAAATACTATAATACTTGCACTTTGAATATACAACTACTATGAATATTATAATCCTGTACTGTGTCATTCCTTTTATAAAGCCCTGGATTGACTGTCTTGTATGTAAGCAAGAAAACGGTGAAGAACTAATTGACTGTGCAAGACAAGTTGATGTCAGAAATGTAAGTCCTGAATACATCTGTTCAAAATGCATTTTCCCCTCCACATCTCCCTGCTCACACTGAAAAGTTAAAAGTATGTCTGGTGGTTCTCATTTCAGGGAAGAGACATTCGAAAACAGTGTGCTTACTGGACACATGGAGGAGCAACTGTGTTGTCTCAGAAAAGTGGGAATAATAAGCAGGAGTTAGGATGTCTTGGGTGTGTCTGACTTTGAGACCCCTAAGCGGCACATAGCAAACTGACAAAATACAGATTCCACCTGTGAATGAAGAGGAATATATACTGATCACCATATAAAAAAGTACTTTAGACAGATTTTTTATCAGAATTGAAGCATTTTGTATCAGTAACAGAAGTGAAAAACGCACTGTGTTAAAATGTCATGATGAATGGACCAATAGGAATGGTCCAAATTGATCTTGCTCCATTAACTTCCATTCAAGGTTAACAAGGTTTTTTCCTTCTCCTCTAAAGTTACCTTTTTAGAGATAGAAGGTTTTGTTCCAACAGCAGTGATACACTTTTCAATAAAGACCATTATTCTCACTGCCTTGTTCTATGTACATTTTTAAAGAAGGTTAAAGCAATAAAACAACAATTAATCAAAAACAAGCTCAATTTAATATATATCATTATTAAACTTGAGTGATTGTTTATAGTCATTTTATCTAGTGAAAGTCATTTTGTTGGCTGATCATTTTCCTTGTTTCACATCATAATGCAGATAGTTTTGCGTGTTTCAATAAATAATGCTTGAAACAGACAAAATCATCTACCAATAGAATAACACAAGTTCTTTAGATACTAGAAACATTTAAATAATCTTATTGCAATCGTACAAAATGAAACATACACATTTTAGCAGTGTGCTAATTTACCGTCTATCCCTAAAAATGCTAGGCCTCTGTAAAGATCCCTCATAAT